AGAGTGTCTCGGCCCAAGTTGAGACACCCAACAGTGTCTCCAGCCCGAATTTTCCCCCGTGCCTATAAATACAAGCCTCAGTGCCTTATTTTTTCGGATCTGGAATTCTCGAGCGTTGGCGAAGCCCTGCCGAATTGAGGAGTGAAGAGCCACGAATTTCAGAGAGGAGGAGGAGACTTCAGTGGATTCTTCGTCATAAAGAAGAGGAGTTCGTCAGATCTGCAGCCCGGTTCGTCCCTTAAGATTACCCCGTTGCGGTAATCTTAAGAAGAACAATTATCTCGCTGTTGCCGAGATAAGCGCTACGGTTTCTTGTTTCCTTCGCGAATCAACAAAGCTCTGCCCAATTTTTCAGCAATCAGATCTGATCGACGGTGGTCCACAGATATCAACGTCCCCGTCACAGGCCAAGATCCCACGCAAGCAGAAGACCGATAAACGATCTCTGCGTTTGTTTGAAGAGAATTGTATTTTTTTTGTTTTCATTGTGTAATGGTCTTATAAAAAGACTAATTTTTGTTTTCGTTATAAACGTCTGAAGTTTGTAATGAACACCGCAATGAAACAATCAATTTTCTCCGCAAACAATACATACAATAGGTACAATTTCCAAACCCACCAACCATCTGTGAATGATACATGTTACTTCTTTCTGTACAGAGTTCAAATAGAATCCTAAATATGTTGGATGATCTGAATGATCATAATCTGAATTAGTAACAACAAAACCAATGTCAAAGAGAGATGCAGTGTAACAAGATGAAGTATTTGTTCTAGCTTAGTTTCTATGCTGCCAAACTGACCCGTACCATTAATACCTCAATCCCGCAGTACTTTGCATGTTACCCTTCATAAATTGCAATACTAATATCAAATTTTGGAAGCAAATCAATAAATGACCGGGGTTCGTGTTGAAAAAATGACTCTGCCAAAGAAGTGGGCCTGTCTCTAAAATTTGGAAAGTAGTAGCATGCATCCATCAGAGAACCTTCCGAAAGTAGTAGAAGAGGGACTAAATTCAGAAACACCGAGTTCAAAATTGAAGAAAATGGAAGCAGTTTGAAGATTATTATTATTATTATTATTATTATGGCTATTTAGAAAAAAGGGTCTGTACACACTTTAAAAAAATACATGTACAAAGAAAACTAAGCGCAGCTAGACTATTTTCAATGAGCTTGTTTTTGTGACCGTTGAACTGTACATATCAACACCACGGCTAGTTTGCGTGCAGAATCGTACATTGAACTACCGTGTATGTTAACAGCTCCACAAGTTCTAAAAAGGAATATTTGGCAACGTCCATCAATTCATTTTACAAAACTAAAACCTTTATTCACTTGTTGTCCTTCTTTAAAAAATATGTTGTTAGTTAAGACAAAGATGTCACGATATGCTCACCAATTCCCACCCAGGATGAAAAAAGAAAATAATCCTAATCTACGTAGAGTCTTGTATAGAAAACCGTATATGATTAAAGAAGTTTCGGTTTACATTTTGAAGTTGATGACTGTACAAATACAACAGTTGATCCTACTAATGTTTTAACTATTTGCATTTGAACTGTCTACTAATTGCGCTGATTTACAAATTAGTTTAATTTCACAAAACCCCCCTAAAGTGTTACCACCATTAATGGAGATCTGTTCGGAATTTTTAAAATTTGAGGAGGGGTTTTGTGAAACACCGCAAAGCTACAAAGGGTTTCATGAAACTCTGCAGTAGAAAACTTTGTCATCTTCTAGTTCCTCCCTGTGTACAAAATGCTACAGGTGATACAAAATGCTTCCCATGATAATATTAAGGATACGATATGATACTATCTAAATTTGAAGGCCAACTACCAAGCACGATCAACAACAGGTACCTTAACTTCACCATATATTGATCCTACAGGTGATACAAAATGCTTCCCATAATAATATTAAGGATATGATATGATACCGGTACCAGAATTTCCAAGAGTTTTAATGCAAGTTGTCAAGTGTGCAAGTAAATGTACGCAAGAGGGTTTATTAACTCCGCTAACCTCGGTTCACATTCAATAAACTGAAATTAGCGGCGCAGCTTGTTGACCGCTTGTCATCATCACCACATGTGTAATATTTCTTAAATTATGTTTTTCTCTTTCAAAAAAAAAGGAAAAAGGAAAAAGAAATAAAAATTTTGCAAATAAAAAAAACTGAAATTCTAAAAACAAAGGAGGCCGAGGATCAGAGGTGACATAATGTAATCACGTTAGTGATTACAACTTAAAATTATAAACTCACTCAATGTCTGATCATTATATTGAGATGTGTACTCGTGTCAGCCACAATGGATTTGACCTCCTCATGGTTTGATAATTTGCCAGTAAAAGAGCTGACCGTTTTTTTTTTTCTCTGTTTCAATGTAACTGGAGGAGTTAAATTGATTATAGACCCCTGAAAGGTAGAGAATATTTTTTTCCCCCGACGAATAGGCCCCCACGACGGTAAAAGAGTCAAAAATAAATTTCACAATGCTTATATGCGAAAAATAAAACCAGAGGAGTAGTAAGTTCAAATAGCGATAGTATGAGGTCTGTCACCCTATTTAGAAACTACAAATTCAATTACACATATAAATTGTAAAATATAATCATAGTTCATCAATGTTGCTAATGTTTTCCATTTATTATTTGTTATTTGTTCTGCAGCTGCATATAAAAATAATAAACTGATTGGATCAGATCAGACTCAACCTCAACATCTACTATAATAATCTAGCCTGATCTGGCACTACTCTCTAACAAAACAACATATTCTAGATAAAGAACATCCAGCAAAGTAAAACACCGGATGGAAAGCATCAGCTTACCAAACTGAGATTGACCCATGAGCTAAGTATTACAAAAAAAAAAAAAAAAAAAAAAAAAAAAAAAAAAAAAAAATAAAAAAAAAAAAAAAAAAAAAAAACAACAACAACTAGATGAATAGACTTTGAATAATTGTCGAACTCTAGTTGTAAGTAAATAATAACAAATTAAGGTTATTTGCATATAGACCCCGTAAATAATGGGTATTTGCAAAAATATCCTCCAAGTCTCGGTATCTGCGAAACTACCCCTCAAATCATCAATTTTGGAAAAAAGTATCCTCAAAGCAATTAATCATCATTAGGTAATTTGCCATTGCAACGTAAAAATTAACAAAATAGTCAATTTTTGCACCAAGTTGATGATTTGTTGATTTTAGGGGTATTTTTTTTTCCACAGAGTTGATGATTTGAGAGGTGCTTTTGCAAATACCAAGATTTAGGGGGTATTTTTTGCAAATACAAATGATTTGAGGGCTATATATGCAAATAACCCAACAAATTATTACGACCTTTATGGGCATCTATTTTGAATTCCTTTTTTTTTTTTTGCCCCCTCATCTCTTCTATATCACAGCTGTTATCAGCTAGGACAAACACTAGGCCAAAGAGATGCAAAGGAATGTCAAAACCTACAGCCTGAGATTTTCTCTAGTAGAAAATTATCACTTTTTCCTTTGCTTCTCTAGCGCGTTCTGATGTAATCTGAAAAGATGTGAATCCTCTGCTTGGCTTGAATTTTAAGGACAAGTTCCACTATTCATAATGGCAGAGGAGGGAAATTTCTATAGGTGTTGAAATGTTAGCAAAGAAAATTAAAGAATTGACTAGTATGTGTCAACATGGAAATCATAGAAGAAGTGTAGACTTCTTCTAGCCAAACAACAAATTAGATTAATTCATACTATGATCCAGTAATTAGTAAGATATCTTTAGACCTCACTCTTGAGCAGCTTTAATTTGGTTTCCTCTAATCAATTTTTTTTTACTTAATGATGAATTTAACATTGTGAGTACCTAGTTCAGTAATCATTCATTTTTACATTTTAACATGCTTTTAAACACTGAAATTTACTGGTCATGAGTCATTTATTCTAAGGGATTCTACCATACGCAACCTTACGGTTCAAATATTGTACTTCACCTTGTTTTGCCTATTACTTATATAAACTCCAAGCCAAGTTTAATAAATATTTATATTTAACTTAAAAAGTCACCTGAAATTTATCAAATTGTAAATATTAACATGCTAACCAACACTTATAATAAAAACTTGACACTTCTTTATCTTGTTTGAATAGCAAAGATTAAAAAAATGATAGTTTAAACATTAAATAGGTTCGTTCGGATAAGCTAGGCCTTAAGTATTGACAACATGTATAACAAGCGTGAGAAAAGATCATCAACTAAAAAAGCTTAGCGGAAATCATGTGATACTTCATCTATTAAGAATCTAAGATGTTTCTATTACTCCAAGAAAGAGAAATTTCCATCAATATCTTGATGGACAGTGACAATTGTATGTTGAAGGACTTGGAATTAGTCTTTGATATTTGTCTATATTATAGTCACCTTCAAAGAGCTGTGAGTCTGTGACCTGCTGTTATTATTTAACTTATGATTTGCTAAAGTAGTAGTTTAAGAAGCAAAAGATTTCTGTCCATGTTTGCTCAAAAATCACATATATTATCAAGTCTAGCCAATATGTCCAGTTATCAATCCTATTTTATTGGCATGCCACTGACATAAGAAAATAAAAACAATGATAATAAACAAAATAATTCATATACACCGCCCCTTCTGAGAAAAGGAACCTTTAACTATATAGATGATGATGATAATAATAATAACTTTATTATAATAAGGCTAAATTACACTAAACCTCCATGATCTTTCAGTGTTTTGAAGTAAACCCCCATGAACATTCAAAATCACACTAAACCGCCATGCAGAAATCCCAAATGAACTTTTAAATAAATTACACTATACCACTATGAACTTTCAAAAGTGCTTTTTATGTTGTATTTTGGTTCTAATTTATGGGGGTTATCTACAAAACTCAGAAAGTTCATGGGGGCTTCTACAATTTCAAAAAGTTCATGGAGGTTTAATGTGATTTTGAATGTTCATGGGGGTTTACTACAAAACACTGAAAGATCATGGGTGCTTAGTGTAATTTACCCCTTATAATAATTATAATTAATAAGAACAATCACGAGAAACTTGTTCTCCAAACCTGAAATAGAAGATAATATATTCTTTTGCGTTAGGTGATGGTCATTGTAGAAGAAAAATTCTAGATGTTGATTTGGCAACAAAACTATACTAACTTCTACACGTATATTTTGACTAACAGTAACACAAAAAATAAACTGCAAGGATTTGATGGGGGGTTTGTTGTAAAATGTAGACATGTCTAACTGAATGCATGTACCAAAGTTTGGAAAAAGGTGTCGTCTATTAGAGAACAATTGAAAAGGAGAGATTCAGAAGAATGAATATGATACCGAAATCCATGAAAATGCTACTGAAATCCATGTATGATGCTTGTTAGATCACCATCAGTCCTGCACAGATTCAAGTTGAAAGATACAGGCATGTGGAATTCATGTAACACAAAAAAAGAAAGAAAGAAACTAGATGCATAACGCAAACTAACTTGTCAAACTATACAACAAGAGCAATTTAGTCAGAAACTCGGCAATCACTATTTTTTATGTATGCATTTCTGTAGCTCAGGTCGAGAAACTAAGTGTTCCATTACTGTTGTAATTTTTTTCTAAGGAAAATGTGATGCGTAGTTTCCTCATCTCATGAGGGAGAAATGATAAGTTCTGCAATAATACAATCGAAAACTTTCAACCTACAACCATGGAAATTGAAACCTGCAACTACTCCAAAAAGGGAAGACACCCAACTCACAGGCCAATTCTTGGTTGGTAAAAAGAAATAATATCGCTTTGCAAGATTTTCTAAAAGAAAAAACATCTCATTGTAATCATCTCATAGGGAAAAGGTGATTCTTATACTTGCAAAGGATAACATTGGATATTAAACATCAATGGACAAAAACTGAATCTAGCATCACACAAATCAGGAACTTCATGATGTAGACTGGAAATGGCAATTCTATAAACGGTGTTATTTCGCTGATGCGATATGTTCCAAATTAGTCCTTTGCACATAGAATTACTAGAACAAACACAATTATTATTAATTCCTGCCTCAATCAGTACTTACAAATGTTTAGTACCATTCCGAAGGTATCATAATTACTAGCATATCTTATTGGTTCAACCTCCTGGATACATCTTTAAATCAAGAATAAAATTATATGGTGAAGTTTATCGAGATAGCTAACAATTCAATGTTTGGGTATAACATCCACACAAAAAAATTCAAAAATGCCCGGAAAATGGCATATCTGCCAAATTATAAACTAGATGATGGATAACCATAAATGATGTATCGGATACAGACCTGTTTCAAGTGGAAAACCCGAACCAAAGCCTTCAAAGCCCTAGCAAGGAATAGGAAATAATATGAAACTTCTTTTAACTCTTTGCCATAAAATGGTCAAACTCAAGGGACTTTGTAATTTCCTTCACCAAATTGGATATCAAGTATACAACATAGAGTAAGCAATGTGGATACTATAAGCATCAGTTTTTTCAGTTATCTTGATAGTCCGCTAGTACATAAACATGGGAAACTATAATAATTCAAAAAAAGTGAGGCATAGCTATTATTAGGGGAAAATACGAATGCTTGAGGAGTCGCAATAAGACCTGAATTTGGAACTTCTCACAATCCACCGTAACCCTTTAACAACTCAGTACTCAGGGGGCACAGGTTTTAACTACTTAGTACGTAGTAAAAGAGCTATGAACAAAAAACAATGATGAGAACAATAACAAAGACTTTTGTCCCAACAATGATGTTCAGTCAGTCTACCATAAGAAAACAATGATAAAAATGCAAAATTAGTTGTGCCTGCAATTACTTACTTACAAAAATAAACATTAAAGCACTAATCGAACACAATAGTTTCCTTCCTTTAATTAAAAAACCACTAAAGTCCTCTTTCATTCAGATTCGTGGGTTAGGGAATCTAGTATTAATCAATATACGTCGCCATTAGGACACATGGGCACTAAAAAAACTTTATTTATTCTTTCATAGGCCCCTAGCACCATAACCAATCTTGTTTTCATTTGAAAGGCTTTGACGATGATGCAACAGAAGAACCACAATTCAGATTCTGATGGAAGTTAAATGTAAGATGTAAATTGTCATGGTTTTACCGTCTATTTAATTTATTCCATGGAAAAGACAATTGTATCAATAGCATGTTTACATCTTTAGTCTTTACCATATATCGAAATCATATTACTCCATATAGTTTCTATTGGCCTCATGGTTATGAGCCTACTCCCTAATCTTGTTTTGATGATTACAAACAATTCCTAACAATATGTGTCGAGTGGTTGCATTTGTTTTGTTAGGTAATCTACACAAATATCCATGTTGGAGGATGGATGGAATCGAGTTTTCACGTATCATATATCCAATGGAGGTTGGCGGTATAGTGGAGTGAAGCCTTGCAATTCAAGTTGAATATCCAAGTTCAAGCTTCATCCGCAAGTTTACCAAGAAGAGCTTATTGATCAAGAGAATAGCTCGGGTATATTTAGTTTAGGTTTTTATATTATGTGTGTTAATACTTCAAGCTCATATTAATCACACACACGTATTTGTTGATTTTATCAAAATATAGGTGTTTTTGTGAAAACATTGTTTTATTAGTTAATAGACTTCAATATCAGTGTTTTTGTGAAAACATTTTACTAAGTCTATAAAATTATTTTATAAAGTTTTAAAACATGGTTTAGTCAAAATGACAAAACAAGTGTTGTTCATTTTCATATTTTGAATTATTTTGAAAAATAAAGAGATTTATCATTTGGGAGGTGTTTTTTGAAAACCAGTTTTGTAACATGTTTACAATCATTTTCCAGAGTTTAATATTTTTCTGATTTTATTTGTTATTTTTAAAAGAAGTTTGAAAATCAGATTTTCTGTTTTAGTCAGGCTGATAACCTGTTATCAATCGATTGGTCAGTCGACTGATGAAATCAGTCGACTGGTCAGTCGACTGAAGAATGTATCTGCAATCTTTAAAAGTTTCTGTTCTGTTTTGGTCGACTGATGATCCATCAGTCAATTAATAAAAATAGTCAATCGACTGATGAGCTGTCTGACGTCTATAACGGTCAGCTTATCAGTCGACTAATGATTTTCGTCAGTCGACTGATAAGCCATAACGGCTATATTTCCAACATTGGTTATTTTATCATTTTTGCTGGTTTTGCTTGGGTTTTAAGCCTTGGTTTTTCATCCTATACAAACCCCTATTGTTCTCATCAGAATAAACTATTCAAGAGGTTTTTAACAAGAGTTTAAAAGTGTTTAAAAGATTGTTTAAGTGTTTAAGTTTGTTTTTACAAAGAGAAAGCTTGCATTGTAAATTGAGGAATTCATACTCAATCTTCTTCTCCTCCTTTGTGTTTATAGAGAACTTTTTCTAACTCTTTTCTCTAGCAATTTATTATTGGTTTTCATATTATTATTATTGCTAGTTTGCTAATTGAGTTAGGTTTTATTTACACTCATTTTATCACACACATCCTATTTGAGCTTGTAGGATTTCATACATCATATATTGGGTTGTGGGTTTGTGATTTGTGAGATTGAGCTTACATTGAGTTCTCATCCAATTAGAGAACATTTTATTATAATTGATGAGCTTACATTGAGTTCTCATCCAATTAGAGAACATTTTATTATAATTGAGCTTTATTGTGAGTTGCACATTGTATTATACTTGTATACCGAGAGAAGTGTGTGGTGAGAGACGGGATCGGTTGCAAGAGAAGTGGGGTCGGTAGTAAAGCCTAATGAGAGGTGGTAATTCCGAACACTTGAGAAAGATGACACGGGCTAGGCTAACACTTAGAGGGTGTGAAGTGTATTTGCAAGTGTGTAAGTTGTAAAGTTTTCGGTGAACTAGAAAACCGTATTATGAGGTGTAAACGTTATTCGGGTGAACGTAGAAAACCCGGTTGTGATAGTGAAGATCTCCTTGAGGTAAAGAGCGGAGACGTAGGTCATGGGGACCGAACTCCGTGATCATATCTTGTGTTTGTGTTTGTCTTTTACGCACTATCACTTGTGTTTATTTACTCTTGTTCATATATCCTTGCATATATCAAATTGAATATCAAGATTGTTAGGATATTTTGTTAATAACTTTTAATTGGTATTAATATCTAATAAGATTAGCAATAATCATATTCACCCACCTCTAGGGTTCTTTCAGTTTCACCTCAGTTCCTTCCTACTTTCTTATATAACCGTAGCAATCAGTGTCGTCAATGCGCGAGGTACAATGCGGGGCACAAAGCATCTTTACGCGTACATCCGCAAGGCACAACTCGATGTGCGCGCCTGAGTGATGCCAGCGCACACCACACACATAATTTTTTCAAGATATATAATCAAGCACGAAAGAACATGTTTAGAAATTGACATAAAAAATATGTCAGAATAAATAATATCTTACTACAAAATCACAATATAATGTCTTAATTTCTAATGCTAACACTCAACATCGTAGCAAGATAATACATTTTCAAATCAAATGTCAAATCAAGACTAATATCCAAGCAAAGATGGTTATGATCCTCAATTGAAGGCCACTAAAAAGGCCTAATGGATTTATTTTGCTTTTCAGGATATGGATTATCGAGTATAAAGGCTCAATTGAAATGTTAACAAACAAAAACTATATGACGGTATGTACTACATGCGCCTTGCGCAAAGTTAGGATGCATGCGAAGTGCAAAAGGGGTTGTTGCATCAGATGCGGGGCACTTCACCACTGCCCCGCATCTCAAGGCGCATGAGGCGCAGTGAGGTGTGCCCCTTTGAACACACTGGTAGCAATAAACTTGATAATACATGCATGCTCTCATGCAAATCAACACAACATGGCATGAGAATATATACTCATCGGTGAGCCTATAATAAACTACCGCAATGTTACAGGATCCTAATTTTCTTCTGTTTTGAAGAGTTTCGTTAGAAGAACATGGACACACTGATACACAGGAAAATTCTAAAAGATACCTCATGCATGTTCGACACAACACAGTTTCGTGATACAATAGTCCATACTGGAAAGATGCCTTAGACCAACAAACGCTCTAAAATAGAAGCATCTATCCAAAGGTCTAAAGAAGATTATAATATTCTAGCTTTATCAACAACCAAACCCACTACCAGTGAACATATCAGCTAATCAATTAATCCAGTGGACCAACCGAACTACACAGCAACATCCTAGTATTCCCAGCGATTGAGACACCCAGACTATAGAGGGAAGAAGACCTTGCAACTACACCAAACTCTGAAGTTGTGATACTGGTTGAGGGATGTAGTTTTACACTTTAACATGTCCCCGCAGGTTGAGCGTCTTTTTTTAAGGGCCGAAATGGTTGTTGGGAATTTGAAACTGGGCTGCTCTGATAATAACGTGCTATGGTTTTATATTCTAAACACAATATACATTTGTACTATAAATATTTACAATCAAGATTAGCACATTGGGCATGCACGCTACAAAATAAATCAAGAATACAGGCAAGAACAAAGATGTGAGCATGAACGTAAAAAATTTTTTAATCAGGAAAAATTGGGGGAAATTGTAAATAATAGAGGGAAAAGTTTCTTACCGAGGGGCTGATTCATCACTGTCTTCGATAAACCGCAGCCAACAATACGTTCATTTTCATTCACGGACTGGGGTTCCTCTTTGGATCGAAAACCCCAACTTCGTTGGGAATTTTCGCAATAAATTTGATTTCGAGCTAATTTAGGGCGAGAATGGCGCCATGCCAGGCCTAAAAATGTTGGAAATTTTGGTGGGCCCAGGGGTTACAAATGAGGGAAACTTTCCGTAAAACGCACTTGGACTTTGGGGTGATTAGCATAAGCGCCTCCGGGACTTTGGAAAATTAAGACAAAACCCCCTGAACTTTGGTGAGTTTCACAAAAAATTCTGCACTTTCTAAAAGTTCCACCAATTGAAATGCCCTTTTTCTACTAAAAAAAATTAATAAGCCTCACTTCTAGTAAAACTATTTACAAAGCATCTCCCCATATTTTTTCTTTGCTTCATATCCTCACTTCAACTAGTAAGAATCATATCAAAACCACTTCCATAGGAGCGGGGTGATTTGCACCACAGCTATAATTCCTAAACTGACTCTCTAACTTCACATGAATGTTATAAATTAACTCAGTCTATGTGTTGTTCTCATACAATTTTTACTCCTCCTCGGTGAATAACTCTAGTTTTTAAAAGCTCGGGACGATTTTTGCAAATCGCCTTGGCGGGCACAAGGGTTATGTGAAATTTATCCAATAAATAATCAGACTCGTAGAATAAATTAGTGACGTTTTCATTTTAATGCTCTAAACTTTTATTCATTTTTGGCATAGTATTCTGAAATTTAACTCTATCGGAACGGCACCCTAAATTTTCAGCTTGTCTAAGCTTGTTACTTTCTTCATTTATTCCAAATACAACTAAAATTTCATACCGTGAGAAAAACATTTTTCTGCAAAGGTATAAAACATTTGCCTCCTTTTTATATATATATATATATATATATATAATACAAAAGTTTCTCTCTCTCTATATATAATATATATATATATATATATAATATATATATATATATTATATATATAATTTTTTTTTTCCCTCTAAATAATATAGGAGACCCAGAGATATCACTATTCTAACTACAGTAAATGTTACATAATTTACCTGTTTACAGCATTAGTATTCGCCATTTATTTAAAGGAAATATTATCTGTGTCATCCCACTAAAAATTTGCTACACCTTTTAAAATATATTACTGTACACGAGATGGGATACTATAGCATTTTTAAAAAATATTATTGTAGCAATATTAAAAAAATTATTACCCATACACTAAAATCACCTCGTCCTATGCATTAAAAACGGGATTATGTAGGGATAAAAAAAGAGAAGGTGGTGCTTTGACCGGGCACCACTAATATATATATATATATATATATATATATATATATATACTATATATATATATATATATATATATATATATAGAAGAGAGCGAAGAGAGAGAGAGAGGAGAGAGAGGAGAGAGGAGAGAGAGAGAAGACGCCGAGAACGAGAAAAATGCCGATATGCTGGTACCCAAACACAATTTCATTAGTGGCTTGGCTTAGTGAGTGTCGTCAGTGTTCCCATCCACTCATTTAATCTAGCGGGAGACCACATTCAACCCCATGTGCAATGTGGTCCCCCATTGAAATGAGTAGAGAATAATGATGCCCACTTCCCACTACCAAGCATAACATTTTTGCGCTGGTACCAGCATACCGCATATTCCTCATATATATATATATATATTAGTATATATGATTATATATATATATAGCATATATATATATAGAAAGAGAGAGAGGAGAGAAGGAGAGAAATAGGTGTAGTGCTTGGTACCTCTCTCTCTCCTATCTTTCATTATATATATATATAAATATATATACTAATGATATATATATATATAATAAATGAGGAATATGGGTATGCTTGGTACCAAGCATAAATTTTGTGCTTGGTAGTGAGGTGTCAAATCCCTCATTTTCATTCACGGACTGGGGTTCCTCTTTGGATCGAAAACCCTAACTTCGTTGGGAATTTTCGCAATAAATTTGATTTCGAGCTAATTTAGGGCGAGAATGGCGCCATGGCAGGCCTAAAAATGTTGGAAATTTTGGTGGGCCCAGGGGTTACAAATGAGGGAAACTTTCCATAAAACGCTTTTGGACTTTGGGGTGATTTGCATAAGCGCCTCCGGGACTTTGGAAAATTAAGACAAAACCCCCTGAACTTTGGTGAGTTTCACAAAAATTACTGCACTTTCTAAAAGTTCCACCAATTGAAATGCCCTTTTTCTATTAAAAAAAATTTAATAAGCCTCACTTCTAGTAAAACTATTTACAAAGCATCTCCCCATATTTTTTCGTTGCTTCATATCCTCACTTCAACTAGTAAGAATCATATCAAAACCACTTCCATAGGAGCGGGGTGATTTGCACCACAGCTATAATTCCTAAACTGACTCTCTAACCTCACATGAATGTTATAAATTAACGCAGTGTATGTGTTGTTCTCATACAATCTTTACTCCTCCTCGGTGAATAACTCTAGTTTTTAAAAGCTCGGGACGATTTTTGCAAATCGCCTTGGCGGGCACAAGGGTTATGTGAAATTTATCCAATAAATAATCAGACTCGTAGAATAAATTAGTGACGTTTTCATTTTAATGCTCTAAACTTTTATTCATTTTTGGCATAGTATTCTGAAATTTAACTCTATCGGAACGGCACCCTAAATATATATATTTATTTATTTATTTATTTATTTATTTTTCTTTTGGAGATTGAGAATTGACGGGCCTTTGGCCACAATGGAAAAGAGCCTAATTAACAGTATTAAAAAGGGTATAAAACTACAAATATCATGTCACGTTCTCACCCCAAAGTAGAGGCCAAAATATACCTTTTCAACTCAAGAACATGAAGCCACCTAGAGAGAACCATAGATTTTGTTTGAGCATTTGCACTCTCACTAATTCACAGGAGAAAAAGATAATTTCATTACAAGTGTACAGATTTTGTTTGAACATTCGCACTCATTAATTCACAGAAGCAAAAGACAAATTTCATTACAAGAGTATACAAATCTCGTTACAATAGTATATACTATGAAAGCCTCTAGCATAGATTACAACGCATATTTCAAGTCAAGAAGCAGAGACGCATGACGCTACACATAACAGTTCAGAAACAGCAACAGCAACTTCAGAGTAGCAGCGTATCATCCAACCAGTTATGCTGAATAATATCCATGCTCATTGAAAGCGCAGGCAGCCATTGCTGATCACATAAATAGCTTGCGCTGTAATTTCAAAATTGCATGTATTTCATCGAATCAGAGGTCATGGTCCCGTCACTCCAGGGAAGAGCTCTGATATCTTGGTGAACACATCCATAACCTAAGAAAAGGGAAAAGTGCAAATAAATTGAGTTGAGCTCGGTGCACGTGCTTGGATAAGTTAATAGGGTTAATGTTTATTAAAGGAAATGAACCGCTATGTGGAGAATATAAATGTTACCACTAACAAGTGATCTTGAGAAAAAGTGCAGATGAAAATGATAAGATGACAAGTAATAGCATAGTTTACGAGTATTATCAAAATATTAGGATCGATATAATTAGACAGTTGGCAGACAACTCTATCAAGCAGTATCAACTTAGATAGTGAAAGACACAACAAAGCATAAAATCTTCGGATGAGGCAGTCTGACGAGATTTGCATTTACGACGCACAACATAAACCAAGGACAAAGAGCCAAAGTTAAACAAAATAAATGTGTGATGAAAGTGAGATTCAAATCTCACCTCCTTGTCATTCTGATATTTTGCAATACTCAAGGGATTTTGCGAGCACTGCAAAAAGAGAAGAGTGTTGGCAAAGTAACAGGCTTGCAGTACTAATATAAACGAAAAGGAAATATTATTTCAACATACATCCATGATGGCAGCTTGCACTTTTGGGTTTTGAAATGCCATGGCAACTTCAGGGTTTGCCATGATTTTAGATATAACTTCTTCTGGAGTGAGCCCTATCTGGTCTGCATGCAAAACAGATGTAATAAGAGTAGGATTCTTATAACTTGCGAATGACAGTGAGAAGCATTTACTCAATGCTATCCACATATGGATTTTGGGAAGAAAAGTTTGACAACAGCCGGTAACCTGCTACTAGTTGCGGCATGTAACAGTAGAGACTAACATGTTAACTGGAAGAGAAATGTTTGTGCTGTTTTCTGTACTAGCTTGCACGCGGGTGTCTCACTTTTATGTTATCCAAACAAGATTTTAGATAGAGGATAATTATCTCTAACCTAAATCAACATCTTTTTCCTTCAGTTCAACTTGACCTATCAAATCCTAATCTCAACTAAAAAAAGGAAAGTAAAGTAAAACAAGGCCCTGAGTATTGTCATGCATAAAATGCATGTAATACCTCTGCAAGCATATTATAGACCACCACAAGTCCTGAGTGTTAAACACTACAAATCAAAGATCAGCTCAAAATATAGTATTCCACATGCGTAATTTCTAACTCCCAGAACGCCAAGAAAGTCGTTTTTGACACCTAAAAGTTCTTCCGGTAAGAACAAATATTTATAGAAAAAGAAACAAGAATGTATTTGAATTACTCACCAAATTGTTGTTTGACCTCAGGGCTGCTCAGATCAAAATTTTTCAAAGAATCCATCATACGACTGTCCCATTCACCACTTCCCCCCATATTGCTTCTGAACAAGCACAAGATTACTAAATATAACACACACACATACTATACAAGCTGCACAAGTGCACATTGCTTCGAAAGAAAGACAAATAACGAGTGTTTGACACAACTAACAGAAGCTCTAACAAAAGAACTTCAGAAACTCAAAATTTCATGAATATGGAAGCCACGTTGTTATTTACTTAAGAAAAGAAAGAAAATAGTGAAGGCAGTTTATTCAACTGCAGGTTTTCAAAACTAAATTACATAACCTTGAAATCTATAGTAGCGGAGAGTAAGTTGCTAATACTCTGGCACTTTCAAAGCTGATATGGAGAAAGCATAAATTGGGTATTAACACACTTGATTTCAGATTTTCTCAAACCATAACTTAGTTGGTGGAGCAATTAGTAATGTAGTATTAAAAAATAACTCCTGATTCATGACCTGGCAGCTGAACATGGTGCAAATCCATAATACCTAAACATGGGATATAGGTTCATTTCATGAGTCGAGAGTGGGCAGGCGCATTAAATTCAATAAAATTTAGGGCATGGAAAGACAGACGAGTATGTGTGAGTATATAATTGATCATATTTAGTGGATCAATAGATCTTTCTTAACACTTAAAAACTACTTCTTTAAACATTGGAACATAGTATTAGATCACAAGGATATGAGTTTGAATCACGATAGAATATTAAAAAAACTCAATACTAGTGGACACTTCTTGTTTATATCCATGACCCAAGGATCCTTTCCGGATTTTCTTTCAAGAGCCATGACCAAGTTTGGGACACATGAGTCAAGATTTTCTGCCTCATTCCCATATCTGGCACCACAATTTGTTGTAAAAAGAAAGGCAGCACTTTCCATACTGCTACTGCCACAGTTGTCTGAACTCTGAAGCTTGTAAGGTTCACAACGTTTTAATATATATCAACAGAAACTAAGAGCTGACGGATATAAAAGGAATACATTTAGACTACAAGAAAATTTACATACTCAGTCTCTAATAAGGAAATTTCGTAGCAATAACTATTAACCAGAAGGTGATTTGACAGAAAAATGCATATACCAGCGGGTTGGTCTTAATTTGAATGATATATTTTATTGAAATCATAGCAGACACAAGCTAGTACGTAGCAGATGTATAAATTACTGTAAACACAAGTAGAACAATGAACTTACAGCATGTCTTGCAGCTGTCGGCGGTATTCTGGATTCTGTAGCATCCCTAAAATAAGATGATAAAGCTCCAACATCTTTATTTGTCTTAATGAGAAGTACATCTTATATGAGATATATACATGCTTACACTAGTACCAAAAGAGACGGCGAAAAATGGAATGGTACAATAGTGTGAATAACATACACTTAAAAGTAGTTGGATTCCTCATCTCCTCAGGCAAATACCTGGATCATATATAAAAGAATTGAATCAATTTGCTGAAACACAAATAGTGAAGCATAAGCCTAACGAAGTAAAAAAGCGGGGAAAGCATTAAAAAATATTTTTTTTAATAAAATTAAGTTCACATGCTGAAAAACTGAAAATTGATCACTATGCGAGATAAATGCAGAATATCAAACAGGGAACAGTCAAAGATAATAAAAACATACAAAGATATACACAATCGAAATAAAATGTAAACTATGTATTCAAAAGGAGGAATAATCCATTCAACCAGCTTTAGAAAACATATATAACATGATCACACTTATATGCATAGGTTACCATCACCACAATTATCAAAGCCTTTTTCCACAAATGAGTTTAGCTATGAAAGCACAACGAAACCATGAAGCTTTATCCAAAATTAACTAAATTTTCACAAGCATCTATCAGCCCCTAATTAATGACGCTATAATGAGTATGTGCAATTATTGGAAATGAGAAGTATGGGCAAGAGAAGGCATTGTGCGTCATGCAACCTCGGTCTCATTCCGTACTTGGACCACGAAACTGTCAAAATTGTATTCATTTATTTTCTGAATTAATCATTAAAAAACAGACTGATAAAAACTGGGAAAGTAATTCACTAGGAAAATAGGATTTTATTCCTAAATGTTTCTCAAGGTATTGAGGCAGCCGCAGAACTTAATGCATAGAGTCCACTCATCCCCATCTCTCTTTGATATATACCTAATTTCTCTCTAGAGATAATCAGTTGCCTATGTAAGGAGAAAATGCAACCATATCTCCTCAACCTCATAACTTTTTTGCAAAACAGAACTGAATTTCTTATTTGGTTCCAGTTGTTGTCGATCTAATTTAGATGAGGGTTTTCCACACACCCTATTAACTACTTATCTGGTTTCAGGAGACCTTTGCTCCTCAAGTCACTTGACAGAAGTAGTATACATAATTTTGCCTATTGGAAAGGAGGAAACGTTACATGAAATTATCACAATCAAACAAATAGAAAATCAGCTATAACAATCGCATGTATTGACATGCGGTCCATATGTATAAATGCATCCATTCTAAAAAAATATAGCACTAAATGAGTGATCATCTTACGGATAAACCATCTTCTGCACATTAGGATCCTCCATCATTTTCTCCAATGCTTCAACTGACAGGAGAGATGGTTCTTTACCTGTTTGTACAAGCATACATTAGACTAATCCAGGTAAAAATGTTTATTCAAGAAAATAAATATAGATTTTGAACGATGCTCGACTAGAACTCTGATAGAATATAAGCTCAACAGTTGTCATAGCATCAGAGAGAGAGAAATATCTAGAATGCTAAATAAATAGTAAATAAACAGATGACCACAGAAATAATCAAAGTTACTTGAAGAAAAGTGACGCTGCCACTGATGACCACTAAAATGGCCAATCTGAAGCAAAATGTCAAGCATGTATTTTATGAAACCTATGATTCTAACATACGCTGATATTGAATGGACTCAGACATACACAGATGCATGTGCACACACACAAATAAATAAATGTAAAGAGAAAAGGAAGTTGGAAATAAATATAGGAGCAGCTGAGCAAAATGCTAGGGGACAAATGAAAAATCTCCTTTCCCACAGTAAGCTCCAGTGAGAATGACTTAATCTGAGACGATCACCACAAATCAACACCACATGATGCCACTAAATTAGTTTCAAAGAGACAAAGCTTGGCATAATTTCTGCTAGGGAGTACAGCATTAGAAATATTCAATATAAATTAATCCATGCTAAAGAAAGATATTATGGTATAAGCTATAAATCAGAAATTATTCAACCTAGTGTCTTACCAGATTGTGAGTGGTCGCTGGAAGCATTTGCGTCCTGCTTAGTGGCAGCTCCATTTGGTGAAACCTTAAAAATGACAGCACCATGTATCAAAGGATATGTTGCAAGGCATATATGGGGTAAATTGTATAAGGATAGCAACAAAACTGACTTCCTTCTCATAATTAGAATTTCTAGATGCACTGCTGCTTACCGAATCTACTGAATATCCTGAATCCTTCTGCAGAACTTCATCTGGAGAAACATCTACAAAAGCTGCATAAAGAATGTTATCAGAGAGATGAAATATGTCAACTGAAGTGAGAAATGACTTATCAAGAATATTTGAATACTGAAGTTTCTAGGCATCTTCTAGAAGGATGGTTCAGCGCATGCAGGTATATAGAATTGCAAGCAGACTTCTGAATATTTTCCGCCCCTAATGTATATGATCCATTAGGCATTTAGATGATGAGTGAATGGAGGGTTGAAGATACCAAAACATAAAATTCCCTGCACAATTTAAGTACTAAGGAAGAAAACATGATTTTAGCAAGCTCTCGCTTTTATGTTCAGAGATGCATTGACCATCACTTATCATCAATACTAGACCAGTTCAAAAGATATTTATTTGGCACCATTTTTTTTGGGCGCAATCAAGTGCTAACGTAAAAAAAAGCATGGCTTTAGTAACCTAAATCTTTTATGCTTAGTGACATATTGGCCATCAATAAATACTGTAAGCACAAAGTGCCCCTTGTTCTTCCTAATTTTTCACGTCCAACCAACTACTTGAAAATCAGTACCCTCCAATAAAAACAGCAAAGTCCCATCTCGCTCTTGGCCTACCATAAACCATCAAACAGAACCAAAGGATGCCTATGAGCTTCAAGAGTTGGAATTCAAATCAAACAATAAAAGGGTTGGGAGCTTTGAATTTGGGAATAGATCTGATCTTTTAGGGGTTTTAAATGTCGGATGTCGGGTTCATGTCGGATGGCTGAAATCCATGTCGGATGTCGGGTTCATGTCGGATGGCTGAAATCCATTGTCGTTGTCTCCTACCGTTGTTTCCACCATCATCACTACAAGGATGATGATGAAGATCATATAAAGAGTCTTATTAGTATTTTAAAATGTTATGATTTAATGTGGGTGTTTTTAGTTTATAAAGTTTTAGTAACTTTACTTTTAAGTGCACAATGACTTTGATTTGAATAGCTTAGGGTGTTATTGTTAGTCTTTGCTTGGAATGTTTCATATTTTTCATGAATTATTATATTTTAATATATGATAAGTATATATCAAAATTTTTAAAAAAACATAATTCTGTGTGATTCGATCAATCGTCACATGATTAGCTAATCGATACCTGATATTGGACCGTACGCATAATGAATCCGTGTTTTAGAACCTTGAAAATGGATGTGTAGTGTAGGATATATTCGAAAAAATTTAAGTTATGGGTTTTTGTAAAATTATCCCTTAAATCTTGGTATTTGCAAAATTGCCCCCACAATTATCACCTTGATTTTTCTACCCCTTCCACTTACCAATTGTAGTTTTTAAACAAGAAATTCATTGCAAACCTATTGAAAATTATTAGGAATTTTGACATTGCCTAGTTAAAAGGAAACATTCTTTATGTTGGAGAGGTAAAAGAATCCAATATGCTAATTTCACAACGCAATTTCGCAAATACCAAGATTTGAGGCGTATTGTATAATTGAATACTAGTCCAACAAATTTCATAATGCAAATGAAAAATAGTCCCTCGCCCTTTATGCGCCTTTATACGCTTAAAGCATATAATAAATAGATGCATATACTTAAGTAAGGAGTGTTCAAGAAGTCTCAAGTATGAGTACGACACGTGTCGGGTGCAGGTTTGGCTCCATATTAGAAGTACCCAGGTAACATAGATGGGGTCTTTATGGGAGCACCTATATGATTTTCCAGCATCAAAATGAGAAAAAAATAAAATTTTAAGAGTTAATATGGAATATGAAGGATATTCACAAAAAACTAAAACTTTTTATAGTGAAATCCAAATCACAAAGCAATGATATTAAAAGTATACCAAGTAGGGAAGAAGAAGAAGACACCGAAGATTTATTTGAACCAAAACTTTAACTACCTTAGAGTTGACTCTAACCCTTCTACTGAAAAGCAAGTTTGCATCCGTCTCAACCCAAGAAGCATTTGCTTGGTACAAAAATTGAATCCACCATAGAGTGAAACTATACACACAGATCTACAAGAACATCAAGCGCTCAATTCTTAAATTTATTTAAAGTTTTAAATATCAACACAAAGTGTAAGCTAGAAAGTCACCCACCCCCCACCCAAAAAAAAATAATAATAATAATAATAACGTGCATACACGCACAAACCACCACCACAAAAAGGACATAACATTCACGAAATCATAATATATGCAGGATCTAACTTCAGAGTTCAGATAAAAAAACAGTTTTGTGAATTTCAAAAAAGCGAGATACCATATTTCTTCTGTTCCTTCCTGATTTGTGGTTCATCTCCAACTTCAGTAGGTGAAGACGCTTCCACTTCGGTAGCAGGGACATCTACTGTAACGGCTGCTTGTGAAGAAACACGTGATGGTGATGGACTGCTTGAAAATGAGGGTGACGGAGTACTCGAACCTGATGGTGGTTTAGGAGGAAATTGGAAAGGTGAACCTTGTGGGAAAGTAGCATTACTAAATTGACCACCTTGTGGTGCTGATTGACCCATCATTGCCTTGAAAGCTTGCTGCATTGCATATTGCTGAATGAGACAACAAGTTAGTGTCAACAGTGTCACATCAAAAAAACTAAAGTAACAAATGCTCATACAAGAAATACGAAGTAAGCAGCTAGCTATGGAAGCCACTATCTCCTAGAAAACAACAAAAGTTCTTTCACCACACATACAATTCAATTTACGCAAGCAGATATGCATCTATAGTAATCTAAAACTCTTTAATACATATCCTTCGTGATAAGAGTGCATGCAGCTTTGCAGCACATGTAATGAGTGAATATCTATGTCCATATTTTGTTGACTTACACACGAGACTCTACCTACATATTTTATAGATTATACTGAATTCATAGCTACACAACATCAGCACTCTCTAAGAGCCATTGAACCTCACATGATAGAATGCACACTAGTGCTATATAACAAACTCCAAAGGAAAATATCAAAATGAAAAATCATGGATGACCTGTAGAGTACATAGCGGCATATCATATACACAAGAACAATTATTGTATATAATAATTAAAGTATAAACAGAACTGATTCAATAATATAGTCTAATGTCCAGAGCGGATTACAGAGAGGATAGCATTATAAGAAGTCATGATTTAATAAGAGACGCAACCTGCAAACCTTAACAAGCTATTACAGATTTGACAATAAGATGAGTATATAAAACATTGAAGTTAAGTTATTTTACTTCCAGCTCTAAACCTCACATTAGAGCGATTCTGACATCACCAGCTGCATGCATTACAGATATGTGGCTTTGCACTGGGTATGCTCACCTTTACTTTTGTTGCCACCTGCCAAATCAGTAGAGATTGTTGTTAAAAAAACTGATCACAAAGCCCATGAAAAGACAAGAAAGAAATCAACCAAACAACTTAACTCACCACAGAGAATAATGCAGAGATCCCGACCCCAACTCCAATCCATAAAAGAGGTGAGCCTCTAAAATGTTTCAAAAATATTAGAGAAAATATATGACGCAAGTACATCAGGTGATAAAATTTTAGAGAAGGGGGAGAAGGTTGGAAGAGAAAAGAAGTCCCTCTACAGACTTAAATGGAAGAAACAGTACAGTAGCTTACATATATGAGGGTGGGGGTGGTACTGGAAGCTGAGGCGTAGCACTAGCTGTAGACATCTCACTGCTGCTCGAAGATGAAATTCTTGCAAAATTTTCTCTCTCTAATTTCATCAAAAATGCAGTGCACAAACAAAGTGTTACACAGATAAGCCACAAATGGGAGAAAAAAAGGTAGATGCTAAACAAAAACATAGGCAGACAAAGAAAGTTCAATGTATTAATAATATAGTTGTCAAACAAGAAAGGGCTGTATAGTTATCTGTGGGTCAGGATTTGATACCAGAATGTTAAACTATTGTATTAAATACCTCTAGTTCTATTAGACTTCAACCCTTCATGATGTTTAGCCCTAAACTTGTAACAAGAAAAATATATAAAGGGACTCATATGTTCATATATCTCCATCGCTAAGTCAAGGATAGCCATTTTGGTTGAGGCCCTTGAGAAGGAGGACGAAAGATCCTCAGGCAATCAGGCTGCATGTTTCCTAATTATAATTATCCCATCTAAAAGTTTCTCCATGTCATTTCGTTTGTCACATTTTCATTTTATATTTTTTTCGTGGATAGGATAGCTAGCTTTTTATCAAAAAACTGGAACTATGTTAAGCCTCTAAACTTCTCTGGAGAGAGTCATAAAGCCTGTCTCGACCTACCAAACTACATAGTGGCCTTATCCTAATGGGTTATTTATATTGTTCCTCGTGAACTGCGTAATATAAAATGTACATGGACAAAAGAGGAACATGGTTCAAAGATTTCTAATTCATTCATAGAATGATTTCAAAACAAATGGTTGTTTAGCATAGAACAAAAGATCCATTAGACGGATTGTTGGGACAAACTCGGGGCCCAATAGAGCAGGGTCGCAGCAATAGTAGAGCAAAAGTAGAGATAAAATATTGGACACACAGATTTACGTGGTTCGGCACTTGATTGCCTACGTCCACGGGCAAGGATAGAAGAATTCACTATGAGGAGAAAACTCTGGAGTTACAATCTCTCTTTCTAAGGAGATACTCTCTCTATTTTTTCTCTCACACTCTTCTATATAAGAAGTTGTTTCTGGGATGAGATTTCCTTAAGGATTTGGAGCCCTATTTATAGTTTTTTGAAAAACACTATGCATAATAAAATATTAATATTTTACTGTGCATTTCTAAAATCTTCAAACTTCACGGCTGCTTTCGGTGTGATAATTTAAGGTGGGTCACACTCCTTTTGCTTTCTTTTCTTTTGTCAAACAAGATGGCTGGGAGTGGATTTGGAGGTTTGGCTACATTAGGCGTCTGACAATCTCCCACTTGAAGATTTGATTGAGCATCAATCATATCTTCACACCATTCTTTCTATCTTACCATCTTCATGTTGCTTACGTCTCCGACAGACCACAGGAGGATCGACACCAAGTAAATTTGTCGGTATGGACTGCTTTTATCAAAAAATCTGCTAGGTTGTCCTTGGTGTGAATTTTCTGCATATCCACTGTTCCTTCTTCCACTTTCTCACGAACGAAGTGATACTGAACTCGAATGTGCTTGGTCTTTGAATGAAAGGCTGGATTTCTTGCCAATTGCAAAGCACTCTGACTGTCACAAAATAGAACAATCTTCTTTTGTTCATGGCCGAGTTCCTCCAGCACCATCTTCAACCACATCGCTTCTTTACTAGCTTGTGTAGCTGCTACATACTCTGCTTCTGTTGTTGAAGTAGCCACAACTGACTGTAGTTTTAAAACCCAGCTTACAGCTCCGCCAGCAAATGCAAACACATAGCCTGTGGTGGATTTGCTATTATCACGATCACCTGCATAATCAGAATCAACATATCCACTAACAATAAAATCAGATCCCCCATAACATAATGCAACATTTGAGGTTCCTTGAATGTATCTTAGAACCATCTTTATAACATTCCAATGCTCTTTACCAGGATTCGCCATGTATCGACTAATCAGTCCCACTGCTTGTGCAATGTCTGGTCTTGTACAAATCATCGCGAACATTAAGCTTCCCACTGCTGATGCATACGGTACTCGAGACATCTCCATCCTCTCTTCTTCACTACTAGGACTCATACTAGAGGATAACTTAAAATTAACAGGAAGTAGGGTAGAAATTGACTTACAATCTAGCATGTTAAAGCGTCGTAAGATTTTCTTCAAATAGTTCTTCTGAGAAAGCCAAATCTTCCTATTAATTCTGTCTCGGTAAATTTGCATCCCTAGAATCTTGTTTGTAGATCCTAAATCCTTCATTTCAAATTCTCTAGCCAACTGAGCCTTTAATTCTTTGATACGATCTTTGTTGGGGCCTGCAACCAACATGTCGTCAACATACAACAATAAGATAACAAAGTTATTTTCACCAAACCTCTTGAAATATGCACAATGATCTGAATTAAGTCTGTTGTATCCAAGGCTCATGATGAATGAATCAAATCTCTTGTACCAACACCTCGGCGCCTGCTTTAGAACGTACAGAGATTTGTTCAATCTGCAAACCAAGTTCTTTTTTCCTTTTTCTTCAAAACCTTCTGGTTGGAGCATATAAATTTCTTCTTCAAGATCTCCATGAAGAAATGTTGTTTTCACATCTATCGCTCTAGATTAAGTCAAATATAGCGCTCATAGTCAGGACTATTCGGACTGTTGTTAGTCGAACTATAGGAGAAAATATTTCATTAAAATCAATACCTTCTTTCTGAGCATATCCTTTTACCACCAATCTAGCACGTGGTGCACATCCAAAAGCCCCTACAGCCCACATCATTAATACATCATATGGTACGTGAATTTCTGGATGTGTAAACACCAGTGTTTTAAATATCGGCCGACATGTCGGACATGTCGGCCGATATGTCGGATCGGGTGGTCTAGCGGTATGAGTCGGGCTAATTCAAGTCGTATATCGTTTTTTAAGAGGAAATCAGAGATATCGGGTATAAATCGGATATGTCGGCCGATTTTTCACCTTTGAAAAATCAGCCGACTTCTATTAAAATCGGTTCAGAGATGTTTTTGATTTATTGGGTTTGGGTTTTCACAAAACCCAAGCCGACTTCTATTAAAATCGGTTCAGAGATGTTTTTGATTTATTGGGTTTGGGTTTTCACAAAACCCAAACCCATTTGACCGCTGCTAACCTTTTCAGGGATTTTTAGAAGCCGAAAACGAGAAAGAAATCATCCCTCAGCCGAAAACGAGAAAGAAAAACACCGCTTGAGAAAACTAGGGCATCGTCAGCCGCAATCTTCAGCGCCTCTTCGACGACATCTTCGACCGACCGCCTTCAATCTTCAGCGCCTCTTCGACGACATCTTCGACCGACCGCCTTCAATCTTCAGCGCCTCTTCGACGACAGCTTCGACCGACCGCACTTCGACCGACCGCATCTTCGAGTTCCACCGCATCTTCGACCGCATCTTCCTGAGGTATGTCTCTCTCTCCCCCTTTCTCTCTCCCCCCTTCTCTCTCCCCCCTCTCTCTCTCTGAGTCTGAGCGCCTCTCTTGAGAATAGGTGGATTCGGTACTGGGACTTTTTTTTGTGGGCTTATAGAAAACGAATTGGGTTTAAGTGGCCAAGTGGGTACTGGGACTTTTTTTATGTGTCCTGTGCAGTTTCATGTGGGTTTATAGAAAACGAAATTGAATCTCTTAGTTTTTAGTTATTTTGTCATTTTGTCTAACAACCGAGAATTATTTTGTTTTCTAACAAATTGGGTTTAAGACAGATTGGGTTTAATAACCGAGAATCTCTTAGTTTTCAAAAACAAATTGGGTTTAAGACAGAATTATGAACAGTGTATGATATTTGTCATTTTGTCTAACAACCGAGAATTATTTTGTTAGGATATTTTGAATTAATTAATATGAAAGATTGATGGAGAACTTATTGTTTTAAGAATGCTTAGATTACATTTAGGACATGATATTGTACATATGCGCCCACCCGATATGGCAATCCGATATTTAGTCCATGTCCCCCGATATATCCCCGATTTCCGCTATCCGACATGGATTTCAGCCGTCCGACATGAACCCGATATCCGATATTTAAAACCTTGGACACAAGTTCCCAAGTCTTGTTCTTATGGAGAGCTTTAATTTCTTCCTGCATTGCTGTCATCCATAAAGATGCATCTGTGTTATTTATAGCTTCATGAAAAGTTGATGGCTCTCCATCTTCTGTTAGAAGACAGTATGCAACATTACTCTCCGTAATATACTCCGAGTGCCAAGTCAGTGGTCTTCTCTCACGAGTTGACCTTCGAACTTCTGGAGCCTCGGACTCGACCGGTTCTTGTACATCATGCTCCGGTGTTCCTTCAGAAGAATTCAGATTATCTTCTACCTGAACAGCTACAGTCTCTGAATCCTTCCTCGAACTGTTTTCTTTCTCTTCGCTTTGTAGTTGGTTCTCTACAAAGATAACATCTCTGCTGATGATAACATTGCGGGCAGTGGGATCCCACAGGCGATACCCCTTTACTCCATCAGCATACCCCAAGAATATGTATTTTCTGGATTTTGAATCCAGCTTTGTAATTTCTTGGGCATTGTACATTACGTACACTGGACATCCAAATATATGAAGGTTGGAATAATCAGCTGGCTTGCTAGTCCACATCTCCATTGACGTCTTCAATTGTATTGCAGTTGATGGAGATCGATTCACCACATAATAAGCGGTTTTTACTGCTTCCGTCCAAAAGACTTTTTCCGGAGACGTAAGCAACATGAAGATGACAAGATAGAAAGAATGGTGTGAAGATATGATTGATGCTCAATCAAATCTTCAAGTGGGAGATTGTCAGGCGCCTAATGCAACCAAACATCCAAATCTACTCAGCCATCTTGTTTGACAAAAGAAAAGAAAACAAAAGTTGTGAGCCCCCGATTAAAGAAAAAATAGAGAGTATCTCCTTAGAAAGAGAGATTGTAACTCCAGAGTTTTCTCCTCATAGTGAATTCTTCTATCCTTACCCGTGGACTATGTTACCTAGGTACGGGTACGGGTACCGGTACGGGTACGGGACACAGCAAATTTGTAAAAAATAGGGTACGGGGACACGGCTGTATATATATAAAATAATTCACTTTAGATCAGTGTTGAATTAAATACCTATTACATTTGCAAATATACCCTAAAATATGACAATCTATTTTTATTTTATTTAACAATTCTAAGAAATAGAAAGTTATTTTTATTTTATTTAAAAATTTAGAACTAATATTATTACTTATATAAACCCAAACCCAAACCCCTCCCCACATAAAACCCAAACCCGAACCCCTCCCCCTATATAAAACCCAAACCCAACCCAAACCCAAACCCCTCCCCTATATAAAACCCCAACCCAACCCCAACCCAAACCCAAACCCAAACCCTACTCCATATAAAAAACAGGTGAAGAAAAAAACCCAAACCCGAATCCAAACCCAAACCCCTCCCCCATCAAACCCAAATTCAAACCCACACCCCTCCCCTATATAAAACCGTAACTTCCCCCTAGGGTTTTCATCTTCGTCGCCTCTTCCCATTTCTCCTCGCGAACCCAAAGCCAGTCCTCCATCGATGGCCCCTCACAAGACCCTCGAAGCTCGTCCAAGCCTCAATCCTCTGTCGGAGCTCGTCCAAGCTTCAGTCCTCCGTCGAAGCTCGTCGCTGTCGAAGAATTTGTTTCGGGCTAGGGTTTTCACTGTTCAAATCGAAGCTGGTCGTTCACTCCTCGCTCGAAGCTCGTCGCCGACTCCTCCCTCGAAGTCGTCATCCCTTGAAGCTCGTCGTCACTCGAAGATCGGCGTTTACTCCTCCCTCGACTGTCTTCCCTCCTTCAGGTTCGCGACATTTTTTCCCCTCTCACTCGTGAAATCGCCGTGTCCCTGCCGTTTGGGTGTGGATCTGCACCCAAACCGCACCCGACACGGGTACGGCACCCATTTTGTCGTACCCGGGTAACATAGCCCGTGGACGTAGGTAATCAAGTGTCGAACCACGTAAATCTGTGTGTCTGATATTTTATCTTTATTTTTGCTCTACTATTGCTGCGACCCTGCTCTATTAGGCCTCGGGTTTGTCCCAACAAGTGATATCAGAGCCAATTTAGGATACTTGTATATATCTACTTATTATATGCTCTGTGACTGCCACCAAATGTGGATCCTCCACATCAGAAAATAAGTTAGGTTATCACTTACCCTTTGAAGGTGATGGGTACTATTCACGAGTACGGTACTGTTCACAAATACGATACTATTCACAAGTACGATACTATTCATGAATACGATTATTGTTCATAAATACAGTTACTATTTACGTGAAATAGTAAGAAGTTATTGTTCGTGGTAGAAGCAATAGCGACGAAGTTCAAGATCGAGAAATTCGATGGGAGTAATTTCTCACTGTGGAAGTTAAAGATAAAGGCTATCTTAAGAAAAGATAATTGTCTGGCGGCCATCAGTGCAAGGCCGAACGACATCACAGATGATAAGAAGTGGAACGAGATGAACGAAAATGCTATTGGAAATCTCCATCTGACATTAGCAGACGTGGTGCTGTCAAGCATAGAGGAGAAGAAGACAGCAAAGGAGATCTGGGATCATGAAGATTGTTAGAGAGGCGCTTGTGGTGATAAAAGGAGAAAAGATAGCTGCAAATCTGTACATGCTCAAGGGAGAAACCATGCAAGAAGCTGATTCATGTGTGGTATCAACCAGCCGTGGAGAAGAACAAACCATGATGTGGCATCGCAAGCTAGGCCACATGTCAGAACGAGGCTTGAAGGTTCTCTCCGATCAGAAGCTGCTTCCTGGTCTTAATTCAGTAGCTCTTCCATTCTGCGAGCATTGTGTTATAAGCAAGCAGTATCGACTGAAGTTCAACACATCGAGTTCTAGAAGCAAGGCTATTCTAAAACTGGTTCATTCTGATGTATGACAAGCACCAGTTACATCCTTAGGAGGAGCAAAATACTTTGTGTCCTTTATTGATGATTACTTCAGGAGATGTTGGGTGTATCCTATCAAGAAAAAGGCAGATGTGTTCTCAGTCTTTAAAGCCTACAAAGCGCGGGTCGAGCTTGAATCTGAGAAGAAGATCAAGTGCTTAAGGTCAGATAATGAAGGAGAATACACAGATGGTGAATTCCTAGCATTCTGCAAGCAAGAAGGCATCAAAAGACAATTCAGTACGGCTTATACTCCACAACAAAATGGAGTGGCGGAGCGGATGAACAGAACTCTGTTGGAAAGAACAAGATGGCTGAGTGGATTTGGAGGTTTGGCTGCATTAGGGGCCTGACACGGATGACATTAGACACATTCAAATTACATAATTTTTTTGCCTACATATGTTTTATGATGGGATAAATGAGATGGATAGAATGGACCATCTTTTAGGTGACTGATCATAAAGTTTCATAAGTACATCGTTTAGGCGACTGAACATCACACGACATTATGCGCATTCACCCAGAAGAAGTACACATATTATGGCAAAAACCATGGATCTATGTCATCGGAAAACTATAATATATACTGACATCCATCTCCCCCCAAAAAAACCATCATAATAATTGCTGATCCTATTTCATGCATTGTTTACATTTTGTAATTGCATTTCCTTCAAAGTTAATGGGCACAATTAACATCATCACCAAAGAATGCTAACAGATTACCATTTTTAGAAATTCTTCGAGAATCTCCTTCTTTGCCCCCGCTTCTAATCGCAGATACAACAAATCTCTGCCTTTTCCCGCCCCCAACTCCTCGAAGAGAAGGACAAGCCGGCAACTGCCGGCTGAGGATTAAGCTAGGGTTTGGGGAACCAGCGAGGACTGGGAATTTGGACGATAAGAGCGCAGAATTTTCCATTAATGGTAAGGTTGAGCTCGAAACCCTAGAAAAAGTTGAGATTTTTGGTGGAGGGTTTTTGGGGAGAGAGGAGAGCGAGAGGGGAAGCTGGGAGTTGGATCGAGATGATAACTGGGAGCTGACGCCGCGGAGCTGGGCCTCCCATATACTAAAGCCCATGATTTAAACGTGAAATTGTCCGAAACAATGTTGGGCTTGGCTCGTATTGTACCCTAAATTTGTTTTAAAGACTCTTTTTTTTCGTCTCTCTCAAAGAAAAATTCCAATGACCCAAAATATGGGATCAACAGGGGGGACAAGTGAAATATCACTCTCCTATTATATAATGAGTTAGTTATCATTAATGATGGACAGTTTATTATGTAATAGGAGGGGAACACATACTTATTCCTCCTGTTTGTCCCATATTTTGGGTCCATGTAGCAAAGCTTTCTCTGAAACCTTTCTTATTTGAACTGAGTCCCTCAAATCATGAAAATCACTATTACATTCCCCAATTCTTGAGTCATTTTGAAATTGATCCCTACAATAAAATATAGACGTAGCAATTGAAGGGATTAATTTGAAATGTCTAATTAGAATTTGAGACCTAATAGCTATTTCAATGATTGAGTAGCTAACTTGGAAATAACCAAAGATTTGATGGGTCTACTAGAAAATTTGATGATTTAAGGAACTAATTTCAAAAGATAAAAGATGCAAGGGACTGATATCAAAAAATCATTTTCCCTTGCTCACTAATGATGACAATATTTTGCCCACGATAAATAATTTGGAGAAATATAAAATTATTCTATTGATATTTCTTTTTTGCTTGACTTCTTTCAACTTACAAAGCACGCATATATATACTATTATAATGACTCTTAGACTTCCTAACAAAGACTCTTGAACTTCTAAACAACATTCATGCTTCTAATATATTCATGCATTTGACTCTTCAAATAACTAAATGATCTTTCCAATTCTCAAGGTAATTAATCAAGTTTACTTTCAAAATTTTCCTTCAATCATGTTGAGCTTGCCTCGCAATAAAGTAAACACATCATGCTTCAATGACTTAGTAAATATGTTAGCCACCTAATCTCGCGATTTCACAAACTCAAGCTCAACTTTTTTGTTCTTTACTTGATCGCGGATAAAATGATATCGAGTATCAATATGTTTACTTCTTTCATGAAACACTGGATTTTTTTCGAAAGTGCAGTAGCTGATTTGTTATCAACACAAATTTTGGTCGGCTTTTCCTGTCCGAACTAAAGATATTTGATCAATTTTCTCAACCAAAGTGCGTGAGTGACACCCGATGATGTAGCAACATGTTCGGCTTCACAAATTGAAAGAGTGACTATCGGTTACTTTTTTGAAGACCAAGCAAAAGCAGTGTCGTCGATATAGAAAAGGTGTAACTAGTTGTACTCTTTCGGTCATCAACATCTCTGGTCTAGTCACAGAGAATCCTCTTTGTTGCTAACAAGTGTGAAGACCTCAGATCTTCCATGTATCTTCTCACGAGCCCAACACCATAGAGAATATTTGGGTCTTGTGCAAGTTAGATAGTGAAGACTTACTGATCAAGCTTTTGAAATAACATGCATCAACTTTGCTTCCACCATCTTTCTTGGATAACTTGACTCCACATCCAACAAGAGTATCCACTGGATTGCTATCCTTCATATCAAGCTTATCAAGAATTATCTTTGCATATCCCTCCTAAGAGATAAAAATTCAATCTTGGGCTTGCTTTACCTCAATGCCATGATAATAAGACACGAGTCCGATGTCTATCATCTTATACTCATAAAACATGGAGCTTTTGAACTCCTCGAATATGTGTGGATTATTTCTTATAAAGATTAAATCATCCACATACAAGCATAGAATAAGAATATCCCTAGTTTCATTTATCTTGGTATATAAGGCATGCTCATAAGAACATTTAGGAAAATTGTGAGCTTGAAAGTATTCATCAAATCTGCTATTCCAAACTATTGGTGCTTGTTTCAAGCCATAAAAGGCTATCATCAACTTCAACACATTTGATTCTTCTCCCTTCTTAACATAACTAAGAGTTTGATCTATATAGATCACTTCTTCAAGAACACCATTCAAAAATGCTGACTTCATATCAAGTTAATAGATTATCTATTTGTCCTAAGTTGTTAAGACAATAGTCAACCTTATAGTTTCAAGACGAGCTACTGGAGAGAATACCTTATTATAGTCAATTCCAGCTTTCTGCTTGTAGCATTTGGCAACTAACCTTCGTTTTGCACCTCTCAACTTCTCATTTTGCATTCTTCTTCTCTTTGAACATTCATTTGACTTCAATTACTTTCTTGCCTTTTGGAAGTGCTTCAAGTTGCCATGTATCATTCTTCTCAATAGCCTTGGTCTCTTCATCCATAGCTGATCTCCACTTTAGATCTTGAACTACTTCTTCAAAGTCTAAATACTCACAGCCAACAAGTAAGCAAAACAATGTTAAATCATCTTAATTTCTAGTTATCTCATACAACTCTCTTAAACTCCCAAAAATTTGAGGTTATTAGCTTGATGATGATGAGGACAATGCTGAAGAAGTCATCGATTGGGGCAATTGAGGTGTGGTTGGTGATGATGTCGTTGGTAATGATATAGAGGATGTTGATGGAGTATGTGCTAGAGCATCTTTCTTGATCTCAGCTTCTTCACTAATGAAAGTAATCAGGCTGCTATAAATTTCTCCCTTGCTCCAGTCCCATGACTTCTCTTCATTGAATTGAATATCTCGGCTAATAATGAACTTCTTACTATAAGGATCATACATATTTTAACCCTTAGTTTTTGAATCATAACCGATGAATACATATAAAATACTCCCCTCATCGAGCTTATTCCTCTTTTGCTCTAGAACACGAGCATACTATCGAACACCTTGAAATGGCTCATATTTGGTTTGTAACTGGTCCAGTCTTCTCACGGAGTAATATTTTTAAGAATCTGAGTTGAACACCAGTTGATGATGTAGTCGGTGCAAGAAATGGCTTCGGCCCAAAAGGCTTTAGACACCTTCTTACTACTAAATATACTTCTTACCATATTTAAAATAGTGCAGTTCTTCCTCTCAACAACACTGTTTTGTTGTGGAGTGTAAGCAACAGTTAAAAAATGTTGAGCTCCATGTTCTTTATAAATATGCTTCAAACTCTTTTGAAGCTCCACCTTGGTCTGACTTAATAACTTTAAGATAAAAGTCACTCTCTTTTCCATATTAGCTTTGAACTTCTTAAACATAGAAAACACTTCAGATTTGCTCTTTAAGAAGTATCCCAAGTCTTTCGAGAAAAATCATCTATAAAGGTAAGAAAATTTCTATTCTCATCGACTGAGGTTGGAGTGATCGACCCACACACATCGGTATGTACAAGTTGTAGTGGCTTCGACACATGAAATGAAGCTTCCTTTAGTAAACTAGCTCGATGATGCTTCCTCGCTAGACATCTTTTACACAATTGCTCGAGATGATTAATTATCGGCCACCTTTTCATCATGCTTCTATCGACCAAAGTCTTCAGACTACCAAAATTGAGATGTCCAAATCTCATGTGCCATAGTTAAGCAAGATCATTTATACAAGCCTTCAAACATTTCACATCTCCACCTTGAAGGTTTAGCAAGATCATTAATACAAACCTCTATGATCTTGAAATAAAAGAATATGGTCTTTCGCATGAAAAACATAGTCCTTTGCTAAGAGTTGTCTCAAACTCAATATATTATTTTTCATATTACGCACATAATAGACAGCGGTGATAAATTTACATTCTCTATTTTTGAGGTGAATAAGAAATTTACCTCGACCTTTCACTAACGTATTTGAGAAATCTCCAAAAGTCACCTCGCCATTCATAGATTCATCCATATCGACGAACATACTTTTCTTGCCACACGTATGGTTGCTAGCACCAATATCAAGATACCAAACATCCTCATTGTCATCATCTCCTTCGAATGCTAATAGAAGAATATTATCATTATCTCCTTTCTCAACATAATTCCCCTTCTCTTCAACTTGATTATAATAAACATTAGAATAGTAATAGTCATGCTCCTTGCATTTAAAACATTGAACTTGTGCTTTCCATCGGTCTCCATTAGATCTACCATGTCCACAGCCTCTAAAAGATCTTTGATTTCGATCTCTTTCTTCAAAGTTGTTGTGACCTCCTTTTCCATAAGAACCACGTCCTTGATATTGAAATCTACCTCAAAACCTTCCACGCTCGCTGTTATTTCTTTCTTTTGAATCTTCTCGGCCATCCTTCAAAAAAAGCTTAGTTTGAAGAGCTTTCTTCACCAGTTCATTTTTCATATTAAATAATTTCTCGTGGGCATTTAAGGAATCTAAGAGTTCATAAGTCGTCATCTTCTCCAAGTCTTTCAACTCTTCAATTGCACAAACAATATAGTCTAATTTCTGAGGAAGTGATCCAAGAATTTTCTCCACCACATGAACATCTTCGATCTTCTTGTCATTTCTTCAAATATGATTCACCACGACCAAGACTCGAGTGAAATAGTCAGAAACTAGCTCATTGTCCTTCATCTTTAAATCTTCACACTCCTTTCTAAGTGTTTGGAGTCACACCTTATTCACCTTCTCTACTCCCTTATAGGAGTTTTGAAGTATCTCCCAAGCTTGTTTTGAAGTCACCGCATCTCAAACCTTCTCGAATGCCGATTCACCAACTCCTTGATAAAATAATGTAGAGGGCTTTACTATCCTTCTCACTAGACTCTTTAAGAGAGTCTCTCTGTACTGCTAATAGCGCACCTTCATCTTGATGCTTTTCAAATCCTTTCACCACAATATCCCCAAAATCTATTGAGCTTAATAGAGCCTTCATTTGAATGCACTAATTTACATAATTTTCTTTGGTGAGATTAGGAGCAACGAATGAGATTATTTTATTGGATCTCATTTCAGCTCTAATACCAATTTGATAATAGTATTTTGCTTAGGATAAATAATTTAAAGAAGAATAAAATTATTCTTTGATTTTCTTCTTCTTTGCGTGCCTTCTTGCAACTTTCAAAACACACATATATATACTATTACAATGACTCTTAGCTCCTAACAAAGACTCTTGAACTTCCCAATAACATTCATGCATCTAATATATTCATAT